AAATATTTGGTGTCATCGGGTGGCGAAGTCTGAGTAACCATCTGATTGGCACTAGTTAGGGCATATGTTGATGGTTCGTTTGATTATTTGCAGGTCATATGGCTCCCAAAAGGCAAAGGCGAGCTGGAGGCACATCCCAGCGACCTGCTTATGATGAGTCCAGATTCCAATCGGAACTGGCGGAGGACGACTTCAACGCCAAGGCTACAAAGACCTTTATCCATGAGATCCCGATTGATCGGGTAGCCCTCCGAGCCGAAAAGGTGGAGATGTATGAAGAAATACGGAGGCGGGAGATGGAATTCCTATTTAACGACCCTGCACCAGTTAACAAGATGCTGGTTCGAGAATTTTACGCCAACTGCCCATTGAACTTGGGTAGGGAGGTGATTGTTCGGGGTACGGTGGTCAATGCTCAAGTTCCAACAATTCGCCGGGTGTTGCGGCTGCCTCCGTTCACCGGTGACGTCGACTATTACCATGACAGACCAGGGGTGACATGGGAGGTCATGACGGATGTACTTTGCATAGGGGGGCAGCCCATTTGGTTACGTGACCAAATAACCCTCAACTCTAACTCTTTCACCCACTTGGCCAAGTGTTGGTTGACTGTTATCCGCAGCAGGTTCCTGCCATCCAGCAATACAATGGACGTGAACTTCACTTGGTGCTTTGTGACAGGGAAGGATTTTGATATGGCCCGGATAATTGGTGATGAAAGGGTCTTACGGGGACCGCTGCTGACAAAGGGATTCTATTTCCCTTCCTTGGTAACCACATTGTGCTTGATGAGAAACACCCCCACCAATCCCGCCGATGGAGATTTGCCTCCCAAAGCAGCATTCAATGCTTCTAGCATCAGAGTGAGTAGGGGTATACGCACCACAATTGAGATAGATGATGAGGAGGACGATCCGGTTCCTTTTGCACCATCCAAGAGGTCTGTTGACAGTGCCGGGCCCTCTCGGCACCCCCATTCTGGAGCAGGCCTATCACGCTCACAGTCCTCCCGGCCTATGCTGCGCTCCTTGGAGGAAGAGGTCGCGGATCTCCGCACCTCGGTGGATGGCCTACAGACGCGGATGGACGCCATGTTGCAGAGGCAGGCTAGATCTGAGAACCGGTTTATGGCCTGGTTACGTGCATTGGGGAGAGCTTGCCATGTAGACCCCAGCACCGTCTCCGACTCGGATTGAGTCTCAGGGAAGTCTTCTAACCCTTCTGCTCTTTACTTTCTTGATATGACATGGGGACATGCCATGATTTTAAGTGTGGGGTGGGAGACTTGCTCTAACTGTGTATTGTAATGTATATAGATGTTGTTGTGCTGTAGCATTAGAGTAATGTGTTGTATATATGTGAGTGTGTTATATTAGGAGTAGCTGACTTGGCCCAACGACGGACACTTGTTGACGGGTCTCTTGAGGGTCAAAGTCAGATATATAAAAATAAAAAAATAAAAAAAAATAAAAAACTTGTAGAGGACTCTTCCTGATGACGGACTAGGTGGACAGTACTCTTGAGGGAAGTAGTCCATGTAGAATATTTTTTTATTTTATTTTCTTCTTTTAGGTAGTGTGGTACCTCCTCCTTGGTTTTTCTTTGGACCACGGTTCTTTTTCAAGGGTTTTTCTTGAACCGGGTTAGGTAGATTTTTCTTTTGTAGTTTTAGGATTAGATGGGTGAAGGTTAGAATGTAACCCCAAATGTGCACACTTGCAAAGAAAAGAACTTGAGAGTGGACGTCTAAGCTTGTTTGTGGACTCATAATATATGCCTTAATTTTGCACATATTGTCTTGCTTGAACACTCGTATGATTGTGCTGATGAACTGATTCGGAATGAGTTACATGCTAAGTGTGTATGAGTTGTTACTTGCATCCTATGCTTGCATATGACACCTAGAACTTGCCCTGTGTGTGTGCAAAACGAAATAGAAGTCGTTTGGTTTTAGAGATGATTGAGGCATTTCTTTGTGCAACCCTCTATACTTGAGAATCCACCTGTGCATATTACCATAGTTAACCCCTTTGAGCCTGAAGCCTGTTCTTTGATAACCCTATAATGATCTAAATCGTTGTGTTTGAATAAGCTAATTGTTTGAACCTTTACCTCCTAGAAGCACTTGAATCACTAAAGAATATACAAAAGTCAAAGTGTGGGGTGGGAGAGAGTTAGTGAAAAAAGGGAACCAAGAATGAAGGTTCTGATTGGTGAACTGGCAGTGTACAATAAATCTAAAAAAAAAAAAAAGAGAAGAAGAAGCCAGTTGTACCTAAAGAAAAGTGGGGGTCACAAGTGAAACAAAATGTGGAATAATGATTGGGTTGAACATGAAGGTGAAATAAAAGGAAGTGTGTATTAAAAGTGCTTAGGGAGGTTAGTCACTATATCCAAATATATCCTACCCGTCCCTAGCCTACATTACAACCTCTAAAGACCTCTTGATCTTTGACCGAATGGCTCGATTAGTGGAGTATTACACTAGGGGCAAGCTTATGGTGTGTCTGTGTAGCATGTGAATGCTCTTTGCTGAGAGTGAGTGAATTCCTTCTATATATGGTTCCTTGTTGTTGAATTTTATATGTGTGTGGAACTTCTCTCAGATGTTGTTTATGTGAGGGCATGTGACTCAGGAAGAAAAAGTGAGTCTTCACTTCTGTTAGAGTAATTCAAGTGAGCACAAGTGTGTCTTGGCATGAGAGTCTGCATTTGAGATATGATTGTGCACTGCTTAGGTCGGTCATTGATAATAGTAGGTGTGACATATATTGGGGCAATGCATTGAGCAGTTAGTCCTAGAAGCGTGGTTTAGTTTGCTCGAGGACGAGCAAAGGTTTAAGTGTGGGGTGTTGATAATAGGTGAATTTGACTATAATCACGCCTTAAATAATCACCTTCTTGTGTAGTTTTAATGCTAAAAGTGATAACAAAAAATGCTCTTATTAGTGCTTTTCATGATTTGCAGGTGATATATGTATAAGGAAGGCTAAGGAGCAGTTTTGGAGTCAAAATTGATGAAAAAGAGGCCAACTGTGAAATTTCCCAAGTGAACCATGCAAAACAGGCCGAAGATTCAGAGCACAGGTTTGACCGCGGTTCCACCGCGACCGCGGTAGAACCGCGGTGGAAGACAGCTGAGGATGATTTCAGAATCAGAGAAGGCTTTTGGCCGCGGTCTGACCGCGACCGCGGCAGAACCGCGGCGGAAGCCGAAAACTTCAGGGACTAAAGTGTAAAACACGGAATTTTTAGACTTAAACCCTATTTAAAATATTAGACTTCGCCCAAGAGAGGCATGTATTGATTTTTAAGGTTTCTTAGCAAGGAAAACCATTGTGAGAGAAGACTCCAACCATCTTTCTTCTTTTCTTTTGATTTTTATGATGAATTCAATCTTAGTTTATTTTCCCATAGCCATGAGTATCTAAATTCCTTGCCTAAGGTTTTGATGGAACCTATTGGGTGATGAACTTCTTGTTTATGTGAATACAAATTGCTAGTTTAATCTCTATTTGTTCAACTTCGTGTCTGTTGTAGTTAATTGACAGGATCCTCAATTAGCTGTGCTTATTTAGTGTGCATAACTTGGAAAAGAGTGCATATTTAGGGTATTGTGGAACAACACCACTCCTAGATTATTAGAGGAATCTATAATTGCGGGTTTAAAGGCGGGATTAGGGATAACGAAGCCTTGGGTGTAATCTAAAGTGAATCGTGCTAAATAAAGTAAGCTAGTGTATCTCGGGAGAGTGCAATAGTAAATTACTGTGATTACTCCGGAGAGATTTACGGTAAGATTAGCGTTCATGATTGATAGAGATGTGTTGGTAAATTTGTATGAGCATAAACAGAAGGGATTCCATCAATAGGGGAAATCATTGCCTTAGCTTTTCCTCATAATTGTTTACAACCTTATTAGTTTAGTTTACAGCTATTTAGTTACTTGCAAGCTAGTTGTTAAAGAACACTCAACTGAGATTTGAATATTTGGGAAGCTGGTTCTGAAGAATTAGTGGGTCTGAAGATAGTGGTTGATAGGTTAACTCTCCGTGGATTCGACCCTGGGTGTAATACTCGGGTTATATTTGCAACGTTTGCAGAGTCCTTTTTATAAGGTATAGTTGGGCGTGATCACTCAACTAATCGAGATCGCAGAAAACAGCAAAATTTCACCAACCCCAGCTGACCTTTATTTAATAAATAGAAAATTAATTAAAATCCAACAAGCAAAAATAATTAAATTGAAGGAAAAAGAAAAACTGATATGGATTTAAAGAGCTAAGTCAGATGATTATGAAAACTGTTTTGTTAAAGCTTGGATCGCCTTACTACGATCTTTGTATTAGCTCAAAACTATGAGCAGAAAGAGAGAGAATGAAGAAAGAGAAAGACTCTGGTTTTGGTGTATTACCAGCCGCGTTTATTTTCCTTTTTTTGTTTTTCTTTTTTCTTCTTTTTTATTTTCAGGAGTTAATTAATGGAGTAATATATACACTTGACAGATAGAAGCACACCGATGACCTAACAGCTAGACACATACAACTCCATTTTGGTTTCTTCTAAAATAAAATATACTCCGCTCGTTCCAATTTATGTGAACCCGTTTGGTTGGGCACGGAATTTAAGGAAAAATAAATACTTTTGGAATTTGTAGTCTAAATAAATCAAAAAGGGGCCCAGAGTATTTGTGTGGTTATAAAAGCTTCTTATTAAGTGTAGAATTATAAGTTTAAATTAATTATTTTTCAAATTTAGAAAGGATTCATTCTTTTTGGAACGGATAAAAAAGGAAATAGGTTCACATAAACTGACGGAGGAACTAAATAGTAAATCTTACTTATTTAGAAGCGGGAGCTGAGGTGCTCTTCGTCGTCCTGCTTGGGGTTATTTTCGGAAATCTGCCCTCCAAGTGGCTTAAAGCTGTTCTGGTGTATATCCCTTTTGTTCAACACGTAAGCGCCAGCACGGTCTTCAGTTTCTCATCTCACCCGGTGCGCGCTCTCGCTCTCTCTCTGTCTTGTCTCTCCTCTCTGCCCCTCTTTAGAGATCTCTCTGTTCCCCTTCGTTTTCTCCCTAAATTTGGAATTAAAGTTGCGTGTTATGGATTGTTGATTTGTTCCTGGGTGTTTTTTTTGTATTCGAGAGTTCTGGTCGTATTGAACTCAAGCCCAAGTTGCTTCTTCAATCTACCCTTGTGTCTGTGTTGACAGATCTCTGTCGTTCCCTCTTTGTTTTTCCTTTAGGTTTGGAATTAAAAGCTATGTAATTTGGGTTGAGTTCATTCTCATACGGTTGGAATCACTGTTGGATATGTATCCTAACAAGTGTAGGTCTTGTAAAATCTGGCTGCCAATGCAGTTGGACTCACTGTTTGTCAGCTCATCCTCTTCCTCACTCTGTTTTGCTCAGTTCGATTTTCTTTTTACGGAAAAAAAGGACAGGCACTTCCAAGATTCAATAAATATCAGTTTCTTGCAACATATTTGAGATGCCGCATGGCGCTGGAGCTACAATTTTATTGAGTTTTTGTGTTTCTTACTTTACTTTAAGGGGACTGGTGTGGAACAATGGATATGTATGATAGATGTAGGTTTTAGATATAAAAATTGTTGTCCATCCTCTTAGTATAACTAATTGAAAAGGGAAAGGTGACTGAATTATTTTCTTGTGAAGTTTTCATTTTATTCTTCTTTTCTCACTATTAAGATGCTTCATTAGCTACCAATCTTTCGAAGCTATCATTATTTTGTATTTGTAAATGCTGGTGTGAAGGCTATCAACCTCCTTTTTGTGTTCTGCTCGCTCTTGGAGAAAGTAGTCTTTACATGGACTCCATAAACAATGTCATAGGTTCTAATATCGGAGAAGGAAGAACCCGAGGAAGCATTATCCCCTGCGATGGATGTTGTAATAAGAGTGTTCAAATGCGTTAGTGGACTTGAAGCTGATGGCAACTTACATGGGGCTGCATTTGCTGGGGTTACATTCTGCTCTATCAGACTACTTGTAGCATCAACACAAGTTGTGAACATAATAAGAAAACAAGGGTCTTTAATCAAGCCTATCCAGCAAACAACTGGTGCCTCCATTCGAGTTCTTTCAGATGGTATTTCGTTGCAGTCTTCATTCTATTACTGTTTGAGTTACTAGAATTACTGCTAAGTAAGTTAAAGGGGTTCATTTAGTTTGTGTACTCAGATGAAATGCCAATCTATGCAACTTCGGATGAGAGAAATAACTAAGTTGATGGTTCTCTTATAACGAAACATTGAAAAAGATTTTTTTACGTTGCTAATAGATGTAGATTGGTTAACACCCTTATATTAGAAATAACATGCAGAATAAGGAGTTTTTACAGAGGGAAATAGAAATTTAAATTTCTCCAACGGAAATTATTTTCTCCTTCCATCAGTTCAATGATGTATGCCTACATAAAATAAGCCTACTTTCTATGATTGACACAATAGGGCACCGGCCAATGATATTTACTTTATCCTACTGGTAATGCATATGAAAGATATAGATAAGTATCAGACATGTTAGTGAAATTATTTTCTTCTTGAATTGTGATTTTCTATTCACTGTTAATGAACATGGTTTAGCCAAATCTTTTATTATCTAGCTGCATTTTTATGTTCAGTTTGATGATATTCCTCCCCTCAAGTGGATTAATGGGAAAAATTTGAAAACGTTTTCCCCTCATAGAATAGTCCATCTCTCACTAAGTAGTTTTGATGTGTTAGATTTTTGAAGACTTAGTTATGTTTCAAATTGTATCCTCCTTGTGCTTTTACTTTGTCTTCCACCTTTTTTTCCGAGCAAGTAAATAACATTTTCGTAACCTTTGGTATCTCAAATTGGCTTCGGAACCTTATAATTTATATTTGCAGCTTAACGCTGTCCTGGTAGGAAATTGTAACTCTTTTCATCCTCAAAATTTTTTTACCACAAGTATTTAGTTCATAGAAGTGTGTTTATTTTTATAGGCAGAATGTTCCATGGATCACAAGTTATGGAGATTTCATGGCATATTGACGATGCATTGTTGCGAGAATGGTCAAGTTGTAGATTGTGTTTGGATTGAAAAAATTAAGGGAAATCTTGCTACATCCAACATATCAAACATCACCTAGGTGGACTTGAAGGTAATATTAGCTTGGATCAGACTCATTTCTTGGAAATATTTTGACATGCTTTAGCTAATAATCAGTTCTTCCTGGAGTATTATGTGGATATTTTTTTTCATTATCATCGTGTAATTAAGAAGTTTACATGTCATTTGAGATTATAGCACTGGAAGTGCTCACCATAGCAATAACATAATTTTCTTCTGTAACTTTCTAGAGAACTACGCAAAACATGGGTAATATATAGTATTTCACTTTTGAGGTTTGTTTAAATAGTCTCTTTCTTTTGTACATATATTCGACGGAGTCTATATTGGTGGAGTTATTTAGTTTCAAAAGATTCATTTCTTGGAAATCATTTGACATACTTTAGCTAATAAATCAGGTTTTCCTGAAGAGTTATGTGGACATTTTTTTTGCATTATCACCGTGTAACTAGAAAGCTTTACTGCCATTTAATAAATGTTGGTGATTAATTTGTGGTACAATTGGTCATTGGCATCAAAAGAAAAAACATACTATCATGAGACATTTCCTTTTCTTAAACTGTGATAATTCAGTAGTAAAAGTTTTCTTCCCAAATGCAGGTGGGTAAGAACAACAAGGATATAAAATTTGAAGAACAAACAAAGAAGCCAAGAAAAAACATACTATCACGAGACATTTCATTGGCATCAAAAGAAAAAACATACTATCATGAGACATTTCCTTTTCTTAAACTGTGATAATTCAGTAGTAAACGTTTTCTTCCCAAATGCAGGTGGGTAAGAACAACAAGGATATAAAATTTGAAGAACAAACAAGAAGCCAAGATTGGGAAAAATTGTGGACTTAGGTTTGAACTTTGCAAAAGATACAGAGTCTAATACTGACGTGGTTGTTGAAACAATTTGTCAAATATTTGTAAAAGACGTTTACGTGATGACTACTTTTTGAACTGTGATGATCTATTAGACAATTTCTTCTCAATGCAGGTGGTTGAGAACAACAAGGGTACAGATTTTGTTGCAGAAGAAGAGGAGCCAAAGGTACATCATATAGATTCAGGGGAGACTTTTTTTTGGAGAAAATAGCATAGACAATGAAGTCTGCTCGCCAAGATTATATTTACTATCAAGGGGGAAGTAAAGAAAATCGTGCAATCTGAAGACTGGAAATCTAGAGATGATAAGAGTAGAAGTAGGAGGCTGAGTGATCTGTTTCAGAAAGCAGAGACTCCATTCTTGACAAGATCAACAGGCAAGTACCTTCACTAAGAGAAGAAATGAACTTTTAATAAAGCTTTGACCTTTCTCTTCTTTGTGATGCTGATACGAGTTTTGCAGTAACGCTCGGTGTATCTTTAGATTTTACAAGAAAAATTCAATCAAACTCTTAATATATTACATATTGCTATCTGTATCATTGTACACATATAGTCCTTTCTCTCCCTATAGATTTTGTTTCCTTGTTGTTTTGGGATCAAAATAAGTATGATTGAAAATTTTGTGAGAAGTGATGAAGTACTTCACTTTTTCCTTTGTGTGGAGTGTATTTTCCAATTTTGTGAATGTTTTGGAGTATATGGACATTGTGTTGGTGGGTGTTGTTAGATTTGCAAGAGAAAACCATGAAAAGAAGATAAATTTCTGTATATATGCTGTGACACTGCATACTCTCATCTAACTCCTATGTCACTCACATTTATTTTCCTATTTATAGAAAAAATGATGGATGGGCAGATTGCAAGTACTGCACAAGCTGGCATCTCTACTAGCTTTGTCTGCTAAGATCTTTAAAGTTATTTCTGATTCACCAGCTGCCAGTTTTAAACGTTTAAAGGTAAAGAGAAGAGACTTCTTATTTTGAGGGGTTTGATACTGAGGATAGTGTTTGTGAATTGCATTGTAGAGAGAGAAGATGTTAGCTGTGTTGCTATTCTTTGTTCTTTCGTTCCTCGCTCTGGTTGATTCCAACTGCTCTCGGTAAGCTCATATCCTTACCTCTTCCTTTATTTTTTATTTTCGGATTATCTATTTATTTTTATATGTACCTGTAATGTTTCATAGGTGTTTATAGGGAATATAATTATCAGTTTAGTCCTAATCGGAGCTGAGATTATAGGAATGAAACAATATGGGGGGCATTAATATAACGAGAAAATATGTTTTGTTTTATTGTGCACATATTCTTGTTTTCTCAGTTTACTCTTATCATTGCTATATTATGTTGGTCTTGGGAGAGTTGTTTCCTTGTTGCTATTGAAGTTATTCTTGTTTTGGTCGTCATCTCCATTATTATTTCAATAGTTTTTTTCCTCAACTTTAATATAATAGTGTTAGTGATTTGATTTTTCCTTCTCAATATGTGATAACTAATTGATAGGTTTCAGGAATGGTGGAGTCCTGATGCAATCACATATGATTTTAACATGCAAATTGCCATTCATTTTGTGAGACAGGCTCAATCTCTTAATCAACGATGTACTCGGGGCTTTCTATTGCTACAGGGTCTAACAATTGGTAGGCTTCCAACTTTTACTGATCTAGGTAAAAGCTTTGGTAGACCAGCTGTCATTGAAGATAATTTGGTATATCAGGTAAGAAAATAATATTTTCATATAAATCATTGTTTTCTTGGAAGATTAAACTACTTTATCCTAAATGATTATGCTTATTCTATTCGTTCTTATTTCTGAATCCTACTTGTAGATGGCTAAGAAGGGTAAGTGAGTCGTGATGATGGGGGAACCTACATTTTGATGTATCTCATCAATTGTCTCATGTAATGCTGGAGACTTCAACACGGATCCGTTTTGTATTAATATCGTATTTGAACATATATACTTTTTTCTCAAGAATTGTATACTAAGGACCGACTCTTTAAATTTAGCGAACTGTACCATGCTCTATAATGGTTTCTTGCTGCTAACTTTATTATAGTAAAACGTTCTGGAGTTGGTTTACTTGAACATGTTGTTCGTTACCTCTTTAAAGTCTTCACGATAAACTCTTTTTTTGGCTGTTTCAGTATATAAATCTAGGAGTTAAAGAGGCGATGCTAAATGCGAATTGATTTGATCTTTAAAAAGATTGCCTCAATGGTATAGTAAACAATCATTTGAGGTGCCATTTTTTGAAAGATCGTTTCTTCTTACATAATTTACCTGATTGGATGACTTTTTCTTTGTTGTGTCATGACCTTATAAGACCTTTGCTTCCAGTGTGATGTCTAAAACCTTGATTTACTGAGTATGCAACATAGCATAATGAATCTATGTCATGACAACTCAAAATTCCTAGTGGAACGGGTCTTTGCAAGTGGAGAACACTTAACAAAATTTCTGTACCAGTTATTCTTGGTGGCTTAACTGCAACATTCAATGGAAACTTTGCAACAATCTTTCGACCGGTAAAGTTCTGGTCAATTTGATGATTTCCTCGGCAGATGCGTAGGTCGACTGCTTGGTAGATTTCATGCATTGTTGAAAGAGGTCTCAAATGCTTCAGTATTTTTCCCTTTGTTATTCCTATTTTTCATGTTTGCTGTTCAAAAATATATGACGTAGATGTTGCTGCATCAAACTTGGTAATTCCGTCCAAGTAGATGAGAAGAATCTTCTACCCTCTATCTTTTAGCATTGTGGAAAGTTTGAAAATAGTAGCGGAATATATATACATTCTGTATGTTATATTAATCTACACAAATAGGTAATTACTCATTTAACAAGTGTCTACAATCTAGGGGTGTGCATTCGATTTATCGATTCGATTTTGATCCTTATCGATAATTACTTATCGATTATCGATTTGTACATATGCTTATCGTTATCGTTTCAATAAGGTTTCAATTTTTTCGATTTCGATTTCGATAACAAATAATCAATTCGATTTATCGATAAACCGATTCGAATGCACTATCCTACTGTAAAACCAATAGTATTTTCTATAATTTAGGTTGTGTTCTTGTACCGGTAATGGATAATTGCAATTCTTTTTTAAAGTCTCATTTTGCCCCTGCTTTTGTGCTGTATTACAATAAATGTACTTACACACTTTGGTAAATCCAACAAATACATGAGCCTTCTTTCAATATCTAAAAAGGCAATCATAGTTGCTGATGTCACATGACAGTGACACATACTTTCACAAATTTTCAATTGTCAGCTCCAACTTATTTTTGGCACATGTGCTGCAAACATTTTGCTTCTTGAAAATAAATTTCATACCGTGATACAAGAAAAACTTATTCCCTGAATTGAAATTAATCCTCAATATTTGAAGTGGGCAAGTACAATCCTCTGTGCAAAAAGTTTTTACCATTTTCTAATTGAGAAAATATTTACTTATATTTATCCTAAAATTATCTGCTACTAGGGTTAACGTCTGGTACAGCTAATGAACAAAATCAAAGTTCTTACACTAATTTGAATAAAGGTTGGTGTATATTGTAGTATTATTTCATACCAATCTGGCTTTCCTTCTCCCTTAATTCATTCTGACGTTTTGGTACTTGCAGGTCCAAACGTAAATAAAACAGGCCAGATAACCATTAGCCAAATGCGATCAGAATACATCCCACTAAAACTAATTTCACGTTGCAAGTTCCATCGAGCTAAGAAATTTCAGTTTGAACCTCCTGCATTTTGTTGTAGCAATGGTTCAGCTAGCTTAACTACACAAAAAATGCCCACGGAATTTATATGTAGCAAATACTGAGGAATCTAAACGGTTTCGCACATACATTAGAACATTGTGACTACCCGGCCGGTCGTCTCATGAGTTACCGCCCCGTTTTCCTCATTCCTGCTTCTATTTGCCTTAATTACTGGTTTTATATGTGATCGGGTTGGTTGGCTCGGGCTTGGAAAGGTTTTGAGAAGGTTTGAGACACTTAGTCTCTTTTAAGAAGGCCTAAGTTAGAAAAGTCAACCGCATGTTGACTTATGTGTTAGAGGGCTCGATGTGAGTTCCGACGGTTCGGATAGCTTCGGGAGATGATTTGGGACTTAGGAGTGTGATCAAAATTTTGAAGCTTTGGGCGATTTTGAAGAGAGGAAATCATTGTTCTTCGTTGAGGTAAGGATTTTGGACCCTAAAACTCAATTATTTGTGACTAAGGAACAAAATATCAGTGTTAAATTTATGAAAATCAGTAAAAAAGGTGGAGTTAGGGCTTGAGATTAACAGACCTTCTAGTGATGATTTGAGGGGTCAAACGAACTCCGATTTTCGAGTTCTTTATATGTACGGACTCGTGAGATGATGAAGAACATTTTGGTATAAAGTTTGTCCAGTTCCGAGACACGGGCCCGGGGGTCGGTTTTGACTGATTTCGGGTTTTGTGCTTAAAATCGATATTTTTCAATTGGAATTCATTCGTTTAGCTAATCAAAATGATAAAATTTGTACTTGGTAGATTTGGAGCACTCGGAGGTTCGTTTCGAAGGGCAAAGGCATTGCAAGCTAGGTTTCAGGCCGGATTGAGGTGAGTAATAATTTTAAATGCTGTCCTGAGGGTATGAAACCCTGGAATTTCATAGCGTACGGCTATTGTGAGGTGACTTACATGCTAGATGACGCAGCGTGGAATAGAGGCACCGCTGGGATTGTGGACTTAGTCCATCCCGAATGATTATTTTACTGCGGATTTGATAGTTAATGTTTAATATTATTATATTTTGGGCTAAATGCCATATGTGGACTTACGTGCCAGCTGTTTGAACCCTTAGGGGATTTTCCTCACTATGTGATTTCATACTGGTGCTCAGTCATGCTATATTTTCACTATTTTTCAAAACTCAGCTATGTTATTCTATGTTTAAACACATTAAATAATATTTTTAAAGATATTTTGAGCTGAGCTTTCATGTTTTACTGATGCCCGAGGGGCTTATGAGATCTGACTGAGTAAGGCCGAGGGCCTGTGTTGTGAGGGATACACTTGGGTCGGGCTGCACGCTGCAACCAGTGATACATTGATTATGATAATGAGGCCGAGGGCCTGAAATTGTACGCCACGAGGTGGCTTGAGATTTATATGAGGCCGAGAGCCTGTTTATGATGCAACGAGATGGCTTGATTATGCACTGGGCCGTAAGGGCCCCTCCTGGAGTCTGTACACCCCCAGTGAGCGCGGGTACCCATTGTGATTTGAGATATAGCCCGAGGGGCTGGTATTGTTGTTTGACATTGGCTCGAGAGGCTTGATTCTGTTGTTACTGTGCCTGAGGGGGCAGTTATTATGTGTTTACTTTTTTAGTTGTTCCTGCATATTGTTTAACTGTTTAAGAGATGTTTATGAAGTTTTCATTGATTAATTATATTTACCTGATTTGTTATGTCTCTTGTAGCCTTAATGTTGTGCCTTACGTGGTTTTATATTACTCAGTCTTCATTTTATTTTTATTACTCACTGAGTTGGAGTACTCACTTTACTCCCTGCACCCCTGTGTGCAGATTCGGGCGCTACAAGGTCTGCTCCTGATAGTTGATAGTTTCCAGCAGGCTTCGGAGATTACTAGGTAGCTGCTTGCGGTTCGCAGCCTAGTGCATTCTCCCTCTTAATTTCAGTTTCCTTTCGATCAGTTATGTAGTAGTGGATTAGACTCTAGACTTCTAGTATTATTTAGATGCTCATGGCTGGTGATACCCCGATTAGGGCTGTGTTGGTTTATTTTTATTCCGCAACTTATATTGCTATTTTGGGATTGTTTATTTTAAAGACCTTGGTTATTATTTTAATGCTTAAGGGTGAATTGGTAGTGTGTCGGCTGGCCTTGTCTTCACGAGAGGCGCCATCACGACCGGGTTTGGGTTTAGGCATCGTGACAAGTTGGTATCAGAGCCTAGGTTACATAGGTCTCACGAGTCATGAGCAGGTTTAGTAGAGTCTCGCGGATCGGTACGGAGACATCTGTATTTATCCTCGAGAGGCTGCAGAACCTTTAGAAAAATTCCATATTCTTGAAATTCTTGTCGTGCGAAGTTGTTGATCCGAATACTAAACTTCTTTTATCCTATTCTCTCACAGATGGTGAGGACACGCTCTACCGGTCAAGACGGACAACCACCCGTACCACCAGCGGGAGCCACTAGAGGCCGAGGAAGTGGACGAGGACGTGGTAGGGGCAGAGGTACAACCCCCGCAGCAGCTTGGACAGCACCTGCAGACCCACCGGCCGCCCCAGTTTAGGGTCAGGTCCCAGTGGTGGACTCTCCAGCAGCACCAGCTCAGGCACCAGCTGTGCCCATTGTGATTCCGGGACTTCAGGAGACTTTGGCCCAGATATTGATAGTATGTACTAGCCTTGCTCAGTCGGTCGCGGTTTCTAATGTCGCAGCTACTTCTCAAGCAGGGGGAGGCTCTTAGACTCCCGCCGCCCGTACACCCGATCCGGTGGTTTAGGGAGTGCAGACACCGGAGGCACCACTAGCCCAACCAGTGGCAGTTGTTCAGGGTTATGTAGCTCCTGTTATGCCAGAGGATGAGCAGCGTAGATTGGAGAAGTTTAGCAGACTCCAGCCTCCAACTTTCAGTGGTGCAGAGGGCGAGGATGCTCAGGGTTTCTTAGACAGATGTCAGCGGATTCTTCGCACTGCGGGTATTCTGGAGACCAGCGGAATTGCATTCACGACCTTTCAGTTTACCGGAGCTGCCTTCACTTGGTGGAAGGTATATAAGAGGCGTAGGCCTGCTAGTTCGGCACCTCTGACTTGGCAGCAGTTCTCCGCCCTATTTCTGGAGAAATATGTCCCACAGTCCCGCAGGGAGAAGCTGCGGAGGCAGTTCGAGCAGCTACGACAGGGGGAGATGACAGTTACCCAGTATGAGATGAGGTTCTCAGAGTTGGCTCGACATGTTATTTGGCTGGTTGCTACTGAGAGAGAGAGGATCAGGAGGTTTGTTGATGGCCTCACCTACCAGCTTCGGGTTCTCATGACAAGGGAGAGGGTGTCAGGTGCTAAATTC